TTTTTTTTTTTTTTTTAGAGAAATCATGTAGAGCAGGTAAACACGCCAATGTTTTTATGAACAATTAGGTGGCATTAAGGAAGAAGGTCCGTGGCTGATTTTGCTATGACTAATACGCATAAAATAATCCCTGGTTTCAGTAGTAGCTTTCAAATGATCTCTTACGAGTACAGAGAGAAACCCATTTCACATTTTTCTGCCTTATTTAAAACAATAAATAAATAAATAAATAAAAGCATTTGCTTGTTTATCATGCAGCTCAAACCTGTCAGCAATAAAGAAAACTGAGACTGTGGTATGGTTAGAAAGTTGCCTCTTGTTTTTTGATACCGTGGAGTTATGGGGGGACGTGGGTTGAATTTCTAATTTTTTCAATAAATAGTGAAACAGATGTTCAGTGCTTAGGTTAGAACTCGTTTCAACTAAACTGTGCCATCTAGAAACTGTACACCAGTGTACAAAATGTTAATTGATTAGGTTTTGATAAACTTGTGGTTAAAATTCAGGTGTGAGCTTTTTCCAGCTCCACCAGTGTCTCTGAAAGTTACTTAGCTTCTGTCTTCCCCTTGTCCCCAAGAAATAAAAAGAGAGGGGAGGGGGGGCAGAATAATAATACTTTACAAGAATATTGAGGCTTCATTTGTAAATTGCTTTGAAACTTTTGAATAAAAATGTCTGTAGGAGTGAACCAAATATAGCAATGTGTATTTCATTAGGTCCCTTAGAAGTTCACTGAAAACAAATTTGCAAGTGTATTTTTATTCACTAGAACAGGGTTCCAAAGCAATTTTTTTTAAAGAAACACTGCTTACAGGGAGGCTGACAACTTGATTTAAAAAAAAAATACTATTAAAAATACAAGTTTATCCTAGCATTCAATCGTCAGTAACTTAGCCTGAATTCGTGTGCATGTGTGTCTGTTGATGAGAGAACCTCCAAGCTTTTTGAGAGACAGAGACCAAAATAAGCCTCCAAATTGTGGTTGGGTTTTTTTTTAATGTTTATATGTGTAGGAAGGAAGGAAGGGAGTAAGCTTGGGGGTTTTCATAGAAGGATAGACAGAAACATTTATTTTTAAAGCCTGGAGGTTTTCTCATCAACAACATAGTCTAAACAGAATTTTACAAAACAATAATCAAAGTAAAAAGAGTGGAGGGGAGGGTCTTTCCTATCTCTTCCTGGTGTTCGTTTATAAGAGCCTCTCAATCCGGGAAGAGTGGGGTAGGCCTGAGAACAATACCAGATACATTTCTGCCCCACACTCCTCCACTCCATTCAGCAGCGTGCCATTGAAATAAGGCCTCGTAGGAAAGGCTAAGAGAAAAAAGTCCACTGTTCAGAACATGGGGAGTGGAGACCAACTCATGTTCACAACCGCGTTGAATCTGGTCTGCCTCTGTGATCTGATTTGTGCCTAGGAGGTGAGGGGGGGGTGTCATTTTTCCAACCGCCGCAGGCCATTGTTTCCTTTGGTCCCCAGAGAGGTTTAAAGGTGGTGTCCATTTGCTGGATGCTGCTAGATCTTCTATAACATTTGTAGTTGTATGCAGAGATGTCTGAGGGAAGCCAACTACCAGCATATACATTCGTGCATCTGCTCTGCAAGATGAAAAATTGGGGCCACTTCCCCAGGTGTTCACCATACCTCCTGGTCTTACCTACATTTCCGTTGTTCCCCATAATCCATACATGTGTCCCTAAGAAAGGGTGCCCTTTTCACTTCAAATACAAATAGTGGGCATCCCTGTTAACGCTTTTGACAAGTATCCTTTAGTGAAAAGTGCATGTCTAAGTTTTCACCAGAAGAGTGCATGAGTGTTGTCTCATGCACTGCATGGTGACAGGCAGTGCAAGTGGTCATCAACAAAACAGTGACATTACCTACATACAAAGTGCTGGTAAATACAATTTTAAAAAGTGAGCTGGAAAACTAATATTCTACTATTTTTTCATTGTTAATAATTTAGGTGTTACATGCAAGTCTAGTAAGCTTAAAAATATCTCAGTAATTTTTTTCACCTTGCATTGCCACTTTTACAATGTAATGTAAACTGCTCCCTTTATTCAGAATAACTTGGTTTATTAGACAGTAGACACCACTGAAATTAAACTTTGAAAAATTAATATTCTGTCTTTTTCTTCAGTCTGTTTTTTCTTTTTGCATGTGTCACTCTTCCATACCTTCCAAAGCATTTGTTAACATATTTGATAACCTTCTTTCTTAGATGCAGTTTTTTTTTTAATGATGCTGATTGTTCTCTATTCAATAACCAAGGGTTTTTTAATTTAATTAGGAAGCTTCTTGCAGTTTTATTGCCAGAGATTGTAGTAAGCGAACAACAGAATGGGTCTGCATGTTCTCTAACTCTGATGTACATGATGAAGTCTGCGTTTTAAAAATATCTCAGTAGTTTTTTGCCATTCTTTGTCCCCCAATTCAGATACTGGATGGATTCAGTTGTTCAGCTTCATGTTAAAATAATTTGTTTCCTGAAAACGCCAGTGTGCTTCTATTGGGACTTCAGCTTGCTGCAGTACTTTAAGCCTGAATCGCCTCTCCAGACAGTCCATAACAAGGGGGTACTTTCCAGGCTCAAACTTGTTGGCAAATAAATGAGGTGATTCAATGATCCATTGTAAATCCCCCAGTCCATAAATACAAATATTTCTGCTGTAATGTCCTGCAAAAATGAATAATGCATATTGAGAAGAGGGAATAATGGATTGGAGCTTTTTGTTTTCAGGTACTCAGTGGGCTTGTCTGCGCTGTTGGACAAGGCTAGGGAGCACCCTCATGAAAATTCACCCTGCCTGCTCTCTCTTGGTGACTGCTTCATGGTGAAAAAATATCATTGACCACTGCTAGAATGGTGCTAGGCACACCTAATGCCTTTCATGAGCATAGCCAAGTCTGAGAGAATGGGAGTGGCTCTGGGCATGTGCCAGGAAGCGGCTATGTACAGTGTTCGCAGTGTGAACAAATTAGTGGGTCTGTTTCTATGGCAGTGTTTTCTAGTGCTGTCCTGTGCAGTGTAGACAGGCCCTGGGCAGTACTGACAAACGTGGCAGATCCATCTGTGCGCAAGTGCTTGAAATAGAGAGAAAGACTAACACTGCTTCTTTTTGTAAACATGAGCGCTGCACTCTGAGAACAGATTTTAGGGGGAGAAATGTGCACGGACCTCACTGGGGCATGCTGCCTCATGTTGTGCACTTGGCCTGTTAGTGATCTGATCTCCTGTCTGCAGTGTGACCATTCATTTTTCTTGTTTTAGTCTGTGCCCAAGTTCTTCATGCTTCATTTATGGCAATTACAGATCTAATGAAAATCAGTGCTTACGTGTTCAACCAAGGTCAAACTGCCATTTAGACAGCACAGTGTTGCTATATTTTTGCTTATAATACTGGGCCAGGTGTGTTAACTTCGGGAGCATATATGTGTTCTCTTGCTCCACGTATGCGTTTGTCAAAAGGATGTCGAGCAAACCCTGTTCTTTTTATTTGAAGGCTGGATCTGCTATGGTTAGTGTTCTGGATAAAGTCCATTTAATAAATGGGAAATGGGAATGGATGCAAGTAGGCAAAACCTGGTAAACATCAAGCTAGAGTTTCCAAACTTGAAAGCTTGGAATGTAAAATGTTAGGAACTCATTAATTTATAAAATTGGCTAATTTATAAAAGATCATCCTCACTGATGATTAAAAAAAAATGCTTGTGTGTGTATATTAGTGTGTATACATATATGCACATATTTATACACACTGATATTACACATGCACACACGTACACTCAGTTTCTGCAGCATTCTGCCATGTTGAAAGATATTTAGATTTGATATAGGAGAGTAATGTAGTAGGAGAGCTTATCTATTTTATTTGTTACAGTCAAAATAAAATATGCATAACTCCTGAGGCGCATTTCGTGGATAATTATGAAATGTATGTTGTATTCTACAAGAAAAGTTACAGCAAGTACATCAGTCTGAATGCAGAACAAGGTCCTCCTGGAATAATTGCATTACCTTTGCAGCCATTATGATTAACTCCTTCTTGATCTTTCCATTTAATAGCCCGTATATTTCCTTCCCAGCCTGCATTTGGTGTGGCACCTGGAGAATCTGGGGGGAGGAAAAATAATCACGGCTGAAGAGGGCTTTTATTCTGTGTACCCCTTAGGAATGACTTTTCATATCTCTGAAGATACCCTTATAAAGTATTGTCTTGTTAATTGTTTATTTACATGCATTTTGATAACTAGCAGCTTGAAATTAATATCTCTTGATTTTTCTTGATTTATTACTTTGTTAGAAGAAGAGATGTGTATGTTACACCAAAAGAGGTGTAAACTAGGTGACTGCAGCATTGATGCTACACAGTCAGATGCATGACAAATTGGCTAGATCAGGCTTGTCCAACATACAGCCCTCAAGCCGCCTTGCAGCCCTCATAGTCATTTTCTTAGGCCTGAGGTACTGCGACAGGAAACGAAAGTAAACACTGTACTTTCATTTTGGGGGTGGGGGAGTGATGTGATACTGCTTCCTGTGAGGTCTTTGAATATGGCTC